AGGCACCGCACATTACCTGCCTACTAGTGAAGCATAATGGGGGCAGCATCATGCTGTGGGGGTGTTTTTCAGTAGCAGGGACTGGGAGGCTGGTTAGGGTTAAGGGGAAGCTTAATGGAGCAAAGTACAGTGATATTCTCAATGAAACGCTGCTCCACAGTGCTCAGGACCTCAGACTGGGCCTAAGGTTTACCTTTCAAACACAACAGCTTTCTAAGCACACAGCCAAGACAACACAGGAGTGGCTTAGGAACTCTGTGAATGTCCTAGAGTTGCCCAACCAGAGCCCTGACTCAAACCTTTTTGAACATCTGTCAATAGACCAGAAAATGGCTGTCCACCGACCTTCCCCATCCAACCTGACTGAGAGGATTTGCAAAGAGGAATGGCAGAAATTTCTCCAATCCAGGTGTGCAAAGCTTGTTGCATCATTATACCCAAAAAGACCTGAGGCTGTAATTGCTGCCAAAGGTGCTTCAACACAGTACTTAGTATAGGGTCAGAATACTTAAGTACATGAGAATTCAGTTTTGAATAAATTCAGACTTCTCTAAAATTCTGTTTTCACTTTGTCATTCCAGAGTACAAAGTGTAGATAATTGAGAACAAAAATGAATTTAAACAACTGTAGTACCAGGCTGCAACATAATAAAGCTTAAAAAAAGGTGAAGGGGTCTAAAATACACTGCTCAAAAAAAATAAAGGAACTTTGAAAACACATCAGATCTCAATGGGAAAAAAGAGCATGCTGGATATTTATGCTGATATGGACTGGGTAATGTGTTAGGAACATAAGGATGCCCCATTTGATGGAAATGAAAAATATCAACCTACATGGGACTGAATTAAAAGATACCCCAAATATCAAAGTGAAAAAATGATGCAGCAGGCTAGTCCATTTTGATGAAATTTCATTGCAGCAACTCAAAAAACGGTACTCAGTAGTTTGTATGGATCCCACGTGCTTGTATGCATGCCTGACAATGTTGGGTTGGGGCATGCTCCGAATGAGACAACGGATGGGATCCTGGGGTATTTCCTCCCAGATCTGGACCAGGGCATCACTGAGCTCCTGGACAGTCTGAGGCGCAACCTAGCAGTGTTGAAAACATGACAAAATGTGGAAAATATCAAGGGGTATGAATACTTTTACAAGGTACTGTATTAGCCTAGAAAATGGCCATTGCTGTTTTTCAACATTCAGCTCCCATTTACTTCAACAGGGTTCAGATCTGGCAGTCGTAGTTTAGTAATGATTGGCGAAGGTGCCTCGAACCTTCAACTCATCACAAGTCACACTCCAGGCAAGCCCAGCAATCTTCAGCTCAGCAGGGTTTGGGTTCAGCCTTCAAAATCTGTTACTGAAAATATGCCAATCTGGATAGCTGCATAAAGCAACAGCATGTAGCAAAAGTCTGAAATGAAAAAAAGAATCTTGGAAAAAGAAAAGTGAATGGTTAGTAAAATGGGTAGACATTTCTCAATAGAGAAAATCCATTCATCCTTCTATGAAACTAGAAAACAAAAAACAAAGCATGCTGGGAGTGGCCATATCTGGCTGGCCAACAGGTTGTTTACCAGTGTCCAAATCCTCCTAAAGGGCATTAGTATAAACAAATTTTTTTTTTTAAACTATTCTGCTCTTCTTATTGAATCAGTAAGAAAGCCTGTTTACAATTCTGAATAGCTGAAGGTCAAAATACACAGACAGCTGAACCAGTCAAATAACTCTTCCCATCCCCCATGTAAAGTTTTATTTAGAGACAGACTGTATCAATGAGAGAAGCTAACACTATGCTCAGCAAAATCAGTGTCATAGTGCTATATGTATTATATTGTTTATTTGTAAATATACATATAAAAATCATTATAGTCTTTTAATTAAAAAAGAAGGTTCCACAAAGATTTCATGGAGAAGAATGACTTTCCAGAAAAAAAAAAAATAAAAAAAAATTGAATTTAACCTCGCTAGTGGTATGATTATGTCATTATTTCTGTGCTGAAAGCGGTACTTTTTTTTGCATGGAAATATGTCTTTTTTTATTGTAGTCCTGTAATTTTTAGGAATAACTCACTCAAATCTGTCCGAACAAGAGTCTAGTAAACATCCCGAGTAGGATAAAACTTGAAACACGAAATCCTAAATTATAATTTAATAATCATAAAAAATATATAAATTTAATTTAATAATATAATCAAACCAAAAAAACACTGAAATTTGAAATATAGCGCCAAGTTCGCACATCACTGAGCAAAGTCGCAAAATCGTTTTCAGTGTCTGATGACAAATTTCCTCACGCATCATCGCTCAATTCTGCAAGTAGTTATAATTTACTATCGCTGTTCTCTAGCTGCTCTAAAACCGCTTTTGACCTAAAGGGATGCTTTTTTTGGACGCCATGGACGTTTCTCAGTTTCCAGGCAATAAGAACAGTAAAAATGCAGGCAGGGCACAGTATGTGAAATGGCTGATACAGTAATGTTTTACTATGTGATTTTAGTGAATGTCACTTTTAGTCATTTTCAAATTTCCCGCCATTCTGTCCCCCATACATCCCGACGCTCGCAGGGGACAGAACCCAGAAGACAGATGCCGGCACCTGCCGGATTACATTGCTGTAAACACTGCAGGAGGGACATCGCAGGAGCGCAGGACAAGGTAAGTGATCGAGGGATCGTGGAGAAGCGTTGCATGGTAAGCCCGAGTGTAGCTCGGGGTTACCGCTTGTGGTACTGAAACTTTATCCCGAGCTACACTCAGAAATTCCAGGGAGGTTAAATACAGAAATGTTTAAGTGACAGAAAACACACAAACATATCTATTTTTCATATAGTTCGAAAACAAAATTTTCTTTTGCTTTGGCTTTTATTCCTGACCTATTGAAAAACTGAGGTAGAAGCAAGCAATTTCAAATATGGGGAATTTTTTAAACAAGCGCTTCATGACTCAGTTAATTTTAGACATAGTCGAACATTTGGAAAACAACATTTTTATGTTTATGTATAGAATTCTTTTCACGGATGTTACTACATTGGATTTGTAAAGATCAGATGAAAGAATGTTTCTTATTAAAGAGAACATAACACATTTTAGTAACGTTTTCACGATAGTTTCCTCAATTTCAGACTTGTAGGAGTAAAACTTGGTTGTAGCCCAATGTCACATTATTTGCATTAAAAGAAATTTGTAGTGGTTTTGTACATATTTCCTTTTTTATGTTCAGATCAAATTGTTAAAAAAACATATTTTACTCAGGTATAAATTGGCAAGTATACTTTGGACTATTTTGATAAATGGGTGTCTGTGGACCAAGAATATCAATTTTAATGCTTTCGTCATATTTATAAAAGTGGCTATAAAATCTTGCATATATGGAACACAAGAATAAAATTCACAAATTAACCAAATCAGACCAGCTTTCTTCTTCAGCACAATGGTCTATCAGTCATTATTATAGGGGAACTGATGGGAGGTATGGCTAAAAGGTATCCAAGTAATGTATTTAATAGGACTGCTATTGCTAGGGCTTTTCCCACACCATTTCCTTTAACCCCATTTACCAGAACTGATAGGAAGAACGGTGTTAAATTTATTGGAGAAGCCCACTCTGAACAAAGCTACACAGGGGCACCAATTGTTCCCACTGCTTTTTGCCATCTCCATAGAGTCTCTGGCTTGCCTACTTTTCCACTCTTCAGATATCAGAGGTTTCTTGAACGCTTCTCTATACACAGATGATATGCTTTTATTCCTCACAAACACTCAAACATCATTTCCAGCTGGAATGCAGTGTGTTATTGACACCTTTGGAAAATTCTCAGAGCTTATAATAACTTGGGAAAATCCATGCAACTCCCCTTGGATCCAATGCCTGGCCGTTTGCCACCATCTCTAGCACACCTTAAAGTGGTTTACTCTATAAAATAGCTAGTAGTTCTGTCTAGATCTCCCTGAGGCTGTGTTGGATAATATCTTGCCTTTACTTTCCAAATTCCAAGCCCAATGCAAGGTGTGGTGTAAATTTCCTCTGTTGAAGGACTAATAAACCTACTTAAATGATCTGGATGCCACAGCTTCTCTACAACTCCACAGTGTGGATACCCCTGAGTTTTCATAAAGGTCGCAGCTGTATTATGGGATCTGATCTGGAGGAAAAAGAATTAAATTGGAATTGCAGCAGTATCCCAAAGATGCGGGTGGACTAGCTGTCCCTAATCCGTGGATCTATTTCATTGCTGCCCAATTACAGCACCTGGTCGGGTGGGACCTGGAGACGCCACCTAGCTTCTCCTTTCGTATACTATCACATGCAAACCAGGGCCGCCATCCCCTATCCACTTTAGAAGTATCAACTTGTAAAGCATTGCAGGCCATCCTACCCACCGTATTCCTAATGGGTACAATTTGCCCTATTAGCCCAAGGGTTTCCTTTTTCCCTATGCCCATTATTGATACCGTGGTGTGGTCCCTTTTATCTAAAAGGTTGAAATTTTATACTTGCCTTACATGGCTGGATCGTTTTCTTTTGAAATTTTCCGTGTTATGTAAGGCTCTCTCCTGAGAGAGGTGGGCCCCATTTCAGCTGACACTGGGAAGAATGTGTTGCAGTGTCTACAAATTGTATCCCTATCCCCCTCTCAGACTTAGATATTTATTCTGCACAAGGTATACAGGACCCCCATATTTCTCTATAATATTGGGGTGCGGGGAGATTCAAAGTGTACGAGATATGGATAGGCCCCAGGGATCCTATATCCATCTCCTATGGAGATGTCCCAAGCTACAGTGGTATTGGGTGGAGGTGGTGGGGATCCTTACTGGCCTTTTTGGCACCAACCCCATTACTTGTTTGCTTGTTTATATGAATTTATTCTTAATTGATCAAACCTTGGCACTCATTAGTTCTCAAGCGCTATTCAATGCTTGATGATTAAGTACACACAAATGGGTCTCGCCCCAACCGCCCACTTTGTGTAAAAACCTCTCTCTTTAAAGAAGAGAGTGTAGCTCGGGGTAAAGTTTCAGCACCACAAGCGGTAACCCTGAGCTACACTCGGGAATACCCTGCAGCGTTGCTCCGGGATCTCTTCTTCACTTACCTTGCCCTTCGCTCCCGCGATGTCCCCCTTGCAGCGTCCCCGGCCATGTCCTCTGGCGGATGCTGGCATCTGTCTTCCGGGTTCCGTTCCCTGCGACGTCAGGACGTATGGGGACAGAACTGGTGGGAAATTTAAAAATGTCAAACAGTGACATTTACTAAATACACTAAAATGGGCGGCACAATGGCTTAGTGGTTAGCACATCTGCCTTGCAGTAAAATGGGTCATGGGTTTGATTCCCAACCATGGCTCCTCCTGTATGGAGTTTGCATGCTCTCCCTGTGCTTGCGTGGGTTTCCTCCTACACTCCAAAGACATGCTGGTAGGTTAATTGGATTCTGTCTAAATTGGCCCTAATATGTGTATGTATGAATGTAAGTTAGGGACCTTAGATTGTACACCCCTTGAGGGTTAGGGACTGATGTGAATGTTCAATATATATCTAAAGCGCTGCGTAAATTGACAGCGCTATATAAGTACCTGAAATAAATAAATAAAATTACTGTATCAAAGCATTTCACATACATTTTGTCCCTAGTGTTTTGTCCAGTGCCCTGCCTGCATTTTTACTGTTCTTTCTGCCTTGAAACTGAGAAATGTCCATGGCATCCAAAAAGCGTCCCTTTAGGTCAAAAGCGGTTTTAGACCAGCTAGAGAACAGCAATAGTAAATTAGAGCTACTTGCAGAATTGAGTGATGATTCGTGGGGAAATTAGTCATTAGTCATCAGACACAGAAACCGATTTTGCGACTTTGCTCAGTGATGTGCGAATTTGGGCTATATTTCAAATTTCAGTGTTTTTGGTTTGATTATACTATCAAATTAAATGTAATTTTTATGAATATTTATTAAATAATTTATGATTTCGAGTTTCAAATTTTAACATACCCGGGATGTTTACTAGACTCTTGTTCGGACAGATTTCAGCGAGTTATTCTTAAAAAGTACAGGCCTACAATAAAAAAAAACCTACATATTTCCATGCAAAAAAAATGTACCGCTTTGAGCAAAGAAATACTGACATAATCAGACCACTAGGGAGGTTAAAATTGTTAAAACAAACAATATACCTCATATCAAAAAAACACACCTAAAATGTTACTCAACCTTGGCAAAAGGCTGATTTGAAGACCTGTTGCTTGGGTACTACTATGCAGACATGCAGTCAACTGCAAACTGGGATAAAGAGAATATTAAAAGTATTGTAATAGGCTAGGGGAGTTCTCTGGGGAATCTGGCCCACCTTGCAGTTCAGGGAACATAGTCATCAGTGGAAGCCAAGCTCCCTATCAACACCCTAGAGCTCAAAGCAATAAGGCTTCATGTACACGAGCCTATCCTTACCACCGGCTGTGGGAAACAGCAAATCGCAGCAAAAACGTGGTACAGCGGTTGCTGCGTTTTCCCACGGTTGGCGGTCAAATCGTTCCTATCCTGAACGCTATTCTTTAGCGTTCAGGAGAGGTTTAACCTCACCTAAATGTGGCAGCTCATAAACTCTGCTAAAAGCCTATGTGTACATGGACACACAGGCTTTTATGGAGTTGCGTTTAGGAGCTTTGGCAAAAAAAAATGCCAAAAGCTCCTAAACTCGAGTTTAGGAGCTGCTTGTGTATATGAAGCCTAAGAATGACTCTTCAACAATGAACCCCCCTTCTACAAAGATGCACAGTCAGGGTCCTCTCAATCATCCAGCCATGCATGGTGATGTCACATCAAAGCCCCACCCTACACAAGTATACAGGCACAGTCATCAAACGCCGGGTTGTCTCCGGCTGGGTCTGTGCTCACGGCTTGGAGGATGTGGCTGGAAACAACCCAACGTTTGAGGACTGTGCCTGTATACTTGGGTCAGTGGCGACACATGTAAATGTGAGTGTACAATCCCAACAAATATGTTCCTGCGTTAAAAATGGCTGTGTGTATAAGTGGGTGCTGCAGCGTCCGTCAGTTGGAACCGAACAGAATCAGCAAGGGAGAATGTCACCAGCACACCAAGGATCACCAATATTGGGTCCAAAAGTTTTAATGAACGATCACATAATTACAGTAAGGCAACGTTTCATTGTCTCGCAAGACGACCAACATACCTGATGAAGAGGTTCTGTGAGACTCCAAAACGTTGCCTTGCTGTAACTGTGATCGTTTATGAAAAACATTTGGACCCATATTGGTGAGCCTTGGTGTGCTGGTGACATTCTCCCTTACATGGAGTTTATGAATTGTTTTTACACAATAAAAGATTTTAAATGGTTTTACGCTATGGAATCCCCTCTTCATTCTTCCTCCCCTATGTGACCTATGTATGGTTTTAGGCCACAACTGTGGCATTGACTGAGAGGACCCTAACTGCGCATCCTTGAAGAAGGGGGGTTCAATGTTGAAGAGCCATCCTTATTGCTCTGAGCTCTAGGATGTTGATAGGGACCTTGGCTTCCACTGATGACTATGTTCCCTGAACTGCAAGGGACTGGAACACTCCTCCCCAACCTGAAAGACTGGAATCTGTTATTATTACTTTCCAGTGATATGGAAGGAGAGACATCCCCATTGTTAAGGCTATGGATCCACCAAGCTAGGGAATTGTTAAGGCTCTTTCACAGGCAGTCCACATCTCACTTCCACCCATCCCCAGCTCTGACCTCTGCACACATCTCCCTCCACAGCCATCACCCCCCCACCCCTTCCCTCAAAAGCTTCCTCACATCTCACCTACCCAACACTATTAACTCCTGTCAGTGTAACTGGCTCAGTCTTTCACTTTCAGGGAAATCGTTGGTGCACCCGGGCACAGATGGGGATCACAGTGCAGCTTACAATGTGATGCCCAATCCCACACTGCATCTCCCTTGTCGCTGCTGTGAGTGCAGGGCAGGCAAGGATCTGCGAGAACCACTGAGAGGAAAGTTGACCTTGTAAACACAGAAGGCTTCGGTGTTTACAAGTGAGAATGGTAAGCAGGGAGCGGAGGCTGAGCGCCAGAATTCAGCTATGTTCTTACTGGGTGTGAGAACATGGCCTGGGTGTGAGGGCCACATAAAATAGCCTGGCAGGCCAGATTCAGTCCATGGGCCTTGTGTTTGACACGTGCGCTAGGGAAAGATCCCTAATAGGTTTATAGCATGATTTCTCCAGGCAGGAAGAATCAAGTCCAGATCCCAAGGAAGCTCAGGTTGTTGCAAGAGGAGGTTAAATAATAAGGTACACCTTGAAGATAGGGTCTTACAAGGAAGAGTGAAGCCAGAGGCCTTTGAAAAAGAATAGATAAGGTGGACACCTGACCTTCAAGAGTGCTTAAGGCCAAGTTCTGATTAAGACCTGTTTGCAGGAAGGCCACAATGAGAAGCAGAGAGTAATATCTGGGATTGAAGTGTGTTTACACCTGGCAAAAAAAATTGCCAGGTGCATTAGTAGATTTTTTTCAGGAGAACGTTTTTCTTGCTTTTAACAATGTAGGAGTCTCAGATTTGGAAAACTCTGCTTGTTCTTTAAGACCTGAGTTTCAATAGCAAAGTTGTTAAAGCCAGAGACTGAGAATCAGGATGAAATACAAAGCCTCGAGAGAGCAGCTCTGGTTTGAGGCCAGGGATTGTCTGCCAGGGTCTGAGTAGGTCTGTGTACCAGGTTCTCCTGGTTCAGCTCAATTAGAATCACCTTTTTCCTGTCTTCCTCTATTTTCCGGAGCAGATGAGGTAGATTTTGCACTGGAAGGAAGGTGTAAATTTGCTTGAACTGAAACCAGAGGATTATCAAAGCATCTGAGGCTAGATCTAGAGGATCCCTGGGTCCAGAAACAGTTTGCTGCTGAATCGGGAGGCTGGGATGTTTACATCTGGAATTCCTCATTTTTGGCAAGGCAGACTGAACGCATCGAGATGAAGGGCCCATTCCCCTTGATCAAGGCTATGTCAGCTACGGTAAGCCACTTTCCAGTTACAGGAAGTGGACTGCAGAGATCTCTGGACAGTGAGCTTCTGTCCATGAAATGATATGGTTTGCATTCTCCAAAGGCAGCCAGAGTCCTGGTGCCCTTAATGGTTGATGTAGGCCACAGCCATTGCATTTGCTTGATTGCTCTCTGATTGGTGTCTTCTCAGGAGGAGGCCCAGTGTTGCAGGGTCAATAGAACCACCAAAATAGAGAATTCCTTGCTTGACTGAATAGAATAAGTAAAAAAAAAAAAAAAAAAAAAAAACACTTTTTTTTTTTTTTTCTGGGAGAAAAAAAAAAATTTGCTTGGGATGTGTCAAGGACCAGATCAAGAATTTCAGACGAAATGAAGGCTGAAGAGCATATTTGCTGAAATTGATCATCCAGCCAAAAGCCTGGAACATCAAAATAGTCTTGTCGGCAATTACTGACCCTGCAGAATCCATGCAAAATTTTGGAATTTGGGGGGAATCTGTTGTGACATCTTAAGTCCAGAATAGGATGAATACCCCGCTGGTCTTTGGTGTCGTCATATACAGGATTGAGTAGAATCCATTGAATTTCTCTTATGGTGGTATTGGCGCACTGACTTCCTGGGACAGGAATCTTTAGGGCACTCTGCACATATACAGTATCTGCCCTTGGGCAGTTTTTGGTTAATGTGAAAGAAGAAAGTGGTGGGGAGGTAGTTTTTAAACTATATCCTTCCGACACCGATTGCATCTCTCTGGGTTACAGACATCCCAGACCCATGTGTTCAATCTGTAACAGACGTCCCCCAGTTCTTAGGAGTGAGGGCACCCCTTTATTGCAAAGAGGGCTTTGGGGAAGGCTTAGTGGCATTTGAGGGCCAAGCCTTGTGTCAAAGGGAAGGTCTAAACTTAGGTTTTGATGTTGAAGCCTGGTAAGAGCAGACCGGTGCTCTGTACGCAGGAGCACCTAGCTCTACAGAGAGGAGTTTAGGGCCCTGTCGGTGTGAAAGTAAAACCTTCCCACCTGTAAGCTCTTTTTGAGAAACTGGTTAAAGGCCTCACCAAACAGATGTTTTCCTTGAAAAGGCATATGCGTGAGGCTCCTTTTCCAAGCAGCTTCTGCTCACCAAGCTTTTAGCTCTACTACTTTGTGCATGGGAATTAGAGCCATTTTTTTCAATTTGTCTCATGACATGTTCTTAGGGCATCTAACCAAAAATATAGCAGAGTAGAACGCAATTGCTGTTTAACAGCATGATCATGAAATACATGGTCATGTTTGCTGTACATTGTCCTAGTTCAGTTAGCTAGAGTTTGACATACTGAAATTACAGTGAGAGCTTTTAGGAGTGCCTCATATTTTTTACCTGCAGAATCTTTGAAAGAAGGAACAGCTTCAATAGGTACAGCAAGATGTTTGTTTAAAACAGATGGCAAAATCGACCACCAGAATAGCCTGCATCTTTGCAAACTCTTCCCACTGAATAGTGTTCAGAAAGAAGATATTTTGGGAGGGGAGAAATCATTTGTGGAGGGACACAATTGTCAAATACTGCAGATTCTATCAGTTCATGAATAGGTAATGTTTGCAGGATTTTGTACGTCTGTTTGTACCCATATAGGA